TTTTTGTTATAACATATTTTATGTTTTCTCTCAATAAATGAAGGGCAAGATCGCCTAAGTTCCAAAAAAAAAAAAAAAATTAAAAAGTTGTGGCATAACTACTGAAAAAAAAAAAAATTATAATTTATCTTATCAAATACAATATATATAAAGACTATATAGTCATCAGAAGTTAATAATAAGAAAAAATTTAATATTCGAATATAAAACTTTATTATAACTACTCCTTAATACTTACAAGGTACTCTATTCATACTAACTGAATATAACATATTCTAATTTCACTATTAATGATATAAAAAAGATTATGTTGACTTGTATTTAATACAGAAAATTTATTTTCTATACTAGTTTATTGAATAAAGTTTATATTAACTGTCTTCCAACTAGAATATATAAATCATTTTGTAACTTGAAAATAATTTGAATGTCTATGTGCAAAACTAAGTAATCATCAGTGATAAAAATTTTCTATATTAAATATTATATACTAAAATACTTGCACAGGATTATATGCTTATATTCTCACGAAAACAATATCTTTTAGTATTCCAAAGCTACGCTTAACATAATTGTTAGTATTATTTCTTCAAATAGGCAAATTTATATGAAATACAAGAGTTTAAAAATAGTGATGACCTTATAAAAACTCAAAATACTTTTGTAATAATAGATATAAATTATAAAATTTATATTTAAATTCATAATAATATTAATCTAATATTAAAAAATCTGATGTATAATTTTTTCATTTTATTCATTACAGATACATGATCTTCTTTAATAATATAATGTTTTGAATCATGAACCTATCTTCAAAAAGCTTATAAGACATAAAAAGTGTATAATAAACAAATTCCTTGTAACTAATATAGTTTTAATGCATTGTATTTAGCATTTGAATCATTAGTAAGTATAACCTTAGTCTTATTTCTGGTCCATATCCATAAAATACATATAATGAAAAGATCATTTTAACTAAAATTAATTATTTATTAGTTAATTTTAAATAAATTTATTAAAAAAAAATTAAATATTATAGGTCTGGCAATCTTAGTGTAGTGGTTAGATTGCCAGACCACCATGCAAGAGGTCTGGGGTTCAAATCTCACTGTCAACGAATTTGAATAATTACCTGAATCTTTGTACCCAACTTATGGTAAACTCTGCTCGTTTCTGGGGGTTACAACTCTGTAAATCACATTGCACCAATATCAATCAGACATTGGGAGTATGACACAATGCTTGAGTTACGTTATGTGAATAAATCTTGATAGGATCTACAAGCAAGAGACCTGCATGGTAGAAATCCCAAGTTTGGTGAAGTAGTATAGATTTTGATAGTTAAGCTAGTTAACATCTGATCCAGTAAAAAACCTGAGTATGAAGGATGTGAGATCGATTGGTGCAAGTAAGTCTACTATATAACACAGCCTGGTGCCTTGCATTAGCAGCAACACCAACTTGGCTTGGCAGCTAACTAGATTAGGAGGATCTACCTCGTGAAATATCTAGCTGAAACTTGGAGGACTATATCTAGTGAATGGTTACAGCAGGAACTGGGTTTGTACAAACATCGACAAGGGTCTAATTCAGGTGAATCTGTGAAATGGGCATATGACCACTCTGGTAGAAAATACTTCCGAGGTTAACTGGAGCTCTGTGGCTCACAATACGTTAGATATACGCATCCCAAGAGGACCTAAGCTGTGCAGAGAAATAGATCTGCAGGTGAATCAGCTAGCGTAAGCAGTTAGTCATAGTAGTGACGTTAGTTTGAGATGAGAGGAAGGGTTAATGATTAGAGTGTTTAAATAGGTAACTCATAGGTAGGTTGCAGGTATAGCAGCATAGTGTAGAACCAACAGATGGTTGATCATCTGTATGCGGACTACTTAAATTAAACAATGACTAAAATTATACGTGTAGCTTGTTGTACACTTATCATGTAACTGTAAAACCTTAGGAAACTGTTCATATGATAGTTCTGAAATAACAAACTAATAAAAATCTAATCGGCCAAGGAAGTGGCTTTAATAATAAAAAAAAAAAAAAAAAAAATTAAATATTATTAATTACTACTTTCTCTAAAGTAACTTTAGATTTATTAGAAGTTAATAGTAATTTAAGAGGAAGAGTACTAATAGTGCAACTTGTATAAAGTAATGTAACAGAGATATTAAGTAGATCAAATGAAGCAGATGAATCAATATAATATAATTTGCCTGCTTGTTAAATCTTCTCATGTACTTGATACATTAGCTCAGTTACAATACAAAAAATAAATACTTTTCCAGTATATGTATTATATTCTTGTAATACTGCTTTACTATTTCCTGAATTATTATACTCATTAACTAATTCTTTTAAATGATTAAACATTTCTGTACTATTACGATCTTCTAATATAGTTTTACAATAGTGATAGAATAATTTAGAAACAGAATTATAGTCTGAGTTAGTAGATCGATTTGCAAGTAATTCAAGTAAATTACTATTATTTATAGCATGAAGATGAAGTTTATCTTTATAAGTATAAAGTACTGATGCAAGAAAATGTCTATTATTAAATAGTTTTAAATATTTTTCTCGCATATCATTATTTACATGTCTTAAACTTAATGATTCAGCTAAATCAATTATATGATTATAGATAAATTTAATGTTAATTTCTAATAGATGATCAAGTTCAAGATGCTATCTTTCTAATTGCAAATGAATATTTGTATTGCAGTTTATTTTCTGAGCATGAAATGACTATGGATTCTTAGTTTTACGATTGCCTTGTTTTTTTTTAACTTCATTACTATGAATACAATACTGCTTTTTTCAAAAGAGTACACGATTTCCCTTTACATTGTAACCTTTAGTTTGTGACATTGTAGTCTTTGAGTGTAATTCAAAAACATGAAACTATTCTTGTGCCATTCTTTTATTATTTATATTCACAAATCTATCAAATTCGAATTGCAGCATTTCAAAGTTTTCAGCAGTTCGATATGAAGGTAATTCATTAAAATTTTTTAATATATATGTGTATGATTTAGAAAGCACTGACTTTAAAGGTTCTAGTAAATCATCCCAGGTATGTATCTAAAATAAATGTTTAAGAAAAAAAATTTATCAAAAAAAAAATTCATTTAAAAAAAATTATATTCACTTAGGAAAAAAAAATTATGTTTGCTTAGAAAAAAAAAATAAAAAATTATATTCACTTTGAAAAAAAAAAAAAAACTATTTAAAAAAAAATTATTCGCTTAAAAAATTCTTGTAAATTTTTTTCGTTTCTCATAAATATTAATTTTAAAATTTTTAAAAAAACAATTTCACTAGTTTCTCTTTACTGTTTTACGAACCTTTGTAGTCTCCATAAGGAAAGTGTTGCAATCGAAGTAGACAATGTACCGATTTGGTTAAATTTGTAAGCGAAAAAAGGAATAAATCGGTTAAAAAAAGAACTTTATTATTATCGTTATAATAATTAATTAATCAATAATAATTATATTAATCAATTTATTTTATATAATCTGTACGTATGTACAGTACGTACATACGTACGATTTAAGTAGCTAATTTGATCGGAGCTACCGTTACTGATCGGTGTGGCTTGTACGCCATTAACCTGGCACACATTTCATTTTTGAGGGTATGATAGTAGATCAATAAATTGCAACAGATAGTGTAACGTACTTTTCGCATCATGCAAAAATGGCTTCGTTTAGCAAATATACCCGCACTTATCGATTCTACAGAATTACATCAATGGCGATTCAAGTTGTATGTAACAACAAAATGTATAGAGTCTGCGATAGCTATTTATATACAAGGACTATCTAAGGGAGTACAGTTCTCGCGAAACTTTCATGTAGACGTGCGTAGGGTTATCATGAGAACTCGAGATCCGTATTTGATTCTTAAATTCTATAATGACTTATTTTTTGCCAAGATAGTTGAAAACTCTGATGATGTAGCTTCCGCAAAGATAGACAATGCGTTAAAAAAAATTCCTGCATATAAAGTTGGCATAGCTTATTGTGAATTAACGAGAAATGTAAAAGTACACAAGTTGATTTATCGCGAAGTTATAGATAAATTGGCTTCGGAACATAGCTTGGTGCAAAATGCATTACAATGTTATAATGACATGACATCTAAGGGCTACTATCCGGATGTATGGACTTATAATAGACTTATAGATAGTATATGCAAATATGACGATTTAGGCACCGCATGGAAGATAATAGGAGATATGATTCGCGTTGGTGTACATCCTGACATTGTTACTTTTAATATTTTGTTAAACCGCCAAATATTGCGTAAAGATTGGAGTCAAGCAGTTAGAATTCTTGATATGATTCAAGAAGCTGGACTACGTCCATCGGAAAGCACGTTGAATACATTAACGCGGAATAAGTTACTTGAAAAGCTAAATTCTAAAGAAGCATATGAATATTCTGCTGTCGTATTAAAAAGGATTTCACTTTTTAATCATTTGGAATGGTTCACAACTCTTGGAAATACTACAAAACTAATCCAGATTTATCAAGAAATGATTACAAATGGCCAAAATCAAGACATTCGAACATTTGAAATCATAATACGAAATTTATTCACGGGACGACATAGTGACAAAGTCAAGCAACTTTACGATGAAATACGCAAATTAGGTGCAGAACCAACATTATTCTTGTACAACATTTTAATTGAAGGTTTTGTAAAATTAGAAGACATGAATAGTGCACACTGTTTATACCGTGATATGTCATTGAGGTCAATAATTGGTGATGTTAACACATATAATTTTTTAATTTGGGGTTATTCTCAAAGAATAAATCTAAAGGAAATTGTTTTCTTGCTCGACGACATGCTCTCGTTTAGAATTCGTCCGAATATATATACAATATCCATTGTGCTAAATTTGTATATAAGACTCAATGACCTACAAAGAGCACGTCAGCTCTTTAACATGCTTCTTGAGTCGAAGGATCAGAAACCTAATCTTTATATATTTAATAGTCTTATCTCTGGTTATGCATATGTTGCTAAAGACACGGTTGAGGCAAAACGACTCTTACTCCATCATCCCATCACACAAACGTTGCAACCTAGTGCTTTAACGTTCAATATTGTTATACAAGCATATACTATGCAAAATGAAATGGATGCTGCGATGGATTTAATGCGACAAATGGAAAACATATACGGTATTGAACCAAATGCATGGACATTTTACCATTTAATCACTGGTTACTTGAATCATGGTCATTTTAATAAAGCATTGACATTGCTTAAATATATGTCTGAAAGAGGAATTAAACCGGACTGGCGACTGAAAAAAACACTTAGAGAAATAAAATATAAAATCTTATATAGAAATCCTATAATTTAATACCACAAATAAACTTTTAATGTGTCATTTTTTGTAATACAGTATAAAGATTTTATTTTAATTAATTAATAATCCGTTTCCGAATGAGGGGGTCGTCTAAAGCCATGTACCCACGTGACTATTTGCGTAGATCTTTAAAATTACAAGTTTATTCTTAATTTTTTAAAACTTTGAGCGAAGGTTTCTCGACAACCACCTAACAAACTTCAATAAATTTTTATTTTATTTGAATTCTACAATTAAGTAGAATTCTAATAAAAAAAAATTCATCGAAATTGGTTAGTTGGTCGTTGAGAAACCTTCGATCAAAGTTAGAGAAAATCTTTCCCGCCTATAAACAAATAAGTTGATTTTAATTTTTTTAAAAACTTTGAGCGAAAGTTTCTCGACAACCAGCTAATTAATTTCACTAAATTTTTTTTTTATTTGAATTCTAAACTATGTATAATTATAATAAAATTTTTTTTTATAGAAATTGGTTAGGTGGTTGTTGAGAAACCTTCACTCAAAGTAAGATAAAATCTTTTCTGCATATTGTATAAACAGTTATTTTTAATTTTTTTAAGAACTTTGAGCGAAGGTTTCTCAACAACTATCTAACCAATTTCTTTCAATTATTTTTTTTTATATTCAAATTTTATACAATTGTAGAATTCAAATAAAAAAAAATTATCAAAATTGATTAGATAGTTGTTAAGAAATCTTTATTCAAAGTATTTAAAAAAATTAAAAATAATTTTATATAGTATGTAGGAAAGATTTTCTCTTACTTTGAGCGAAGGTTTCTTAACAACCATCTAAACAATTTCTATAAAAAAATTTTTTATTATAATTATATTTAGTTATAGAATTCAAATAAAAAAAAATTTAGTAAAATTAGTTAGCTAGTTGTCAAAAAACTTTTATTTAAAGTTTTTAAAAAAATTAAAATCAATTTATTTGTTTATAGGCGAGGAAGATTTTTTCTAACTTTGATTAAAGGTTTCTTAACAACCAACTAACTAATTTTGATAAATTTTTTTATTTGAATTCTACTTATTACTTTTTTCAATTTAGTTAATTTGGTAATCATTTTTTTAATAATATGAATTTTGTGAGTTCTATGAATACTATATAAAATTGTTTTTTTTTTTTTTTTTTTTTTTTTTTTTTTTATACAAATGCCATCAGCTAACTTTATTATTTCATAAATTTCAGAAGTGATACATATTGTGAAAGTATAACTAGCCACACGTACAATTTTAGGTTGTCTATTTTAAGTAGTTCACCTGAAGGTTCTACACTAGTTGCTATATCTGAAATCTCTTAGAAGATTCTCTATTTAAACTCTCTGGCTCTACCTCACTTACTGAAAGTATTACTCTTATAGTTAACCCAAACCTTGTACTACTTTATATTAGGAGACACTCAAGCTGACATTAGTCGCAACTTTACTATTATGAGCTTAGGTCTTATCTGAATAAGTCCCACTTCAACGTCCTCTAGCAGATGAGTATCATGATACCTAACTATGCTATGCTATATCCCTATTTTAACTTGTATATATCTTTATTCGATATTCATACAAACACAGTTCTAGCCATAGCCTTCTATCAGTTTAGACTTCTGCATTCTTCTGAATGTTTTACAAAGCAGATCCTCCTAATCTAGTTAGCTACCAAGTCAAGTTGATGTTGCCATAACACCCAATGTCATGGACTTACTCACACCTACTTGATCTATATCTTCGTACTCAGAAATCTTTGCTAGATTAAACATTAACTAGCGTGACTATTGAAATTCATACTACTTTACCCAACTCAGGATTTCTATTATTTAAGTTTTCTGCCTGTAGATCCTATCTCGATTTATTCATATAATACAACTCTAACATTCCATCACACTTCCAATATCCAGACAATATTAGTGCAACATGATTTACAGAGCTTTAATGTACTAACCAAAAGGCAGCTTTGGGAAAAATACTGCTTTAAAGAAAACTTTAATATTGCTAGTATCACTGAAACCAAACTAAATACCCTACGTTCCCAAAAATTTCTTAATACTAAACAATTTTCATACTTCTGGGCAAGCCTTGGTAACTCTGCAGAGGGAACTGCACTCATGGTCAATAATAATCTCAAACCATATATTCACAACATATTAACATACTCTGGAGGCGCTGTTGCTATTGACCTCTTTTTCAAATATGACTTCAAATTTAGAATTATATCTGTATATCTGTCTACATCTAACAAATCTCACAGAGATTCTGCTCAAGAGAAAACCAAGCAATAGATCCAACAAGCTTTAAATTTAAACCTCTTCCTTATAGTTTTAGGAGACTTTAATGCTTCTACAAACTTTACATCTACAACCTTCTTCAAAACTCGTTTACTATTTTATTTATATAGCATTAATATGTACGATCTTGCTGACCACACATCCAATCAACAAAACACTTGGCAAAGTAGCAGATATAGCAGTAAAATTGACTATATCTGGGCATACCATCCAACTATACAATTCCTAACAGACTTTTACTATGAAGATTCTCTTGCGATAACTAATAGTGATCACAAAATTTTAGTTTCTAAATGGTCTTTCCCCTTTGCTTTCTCTGGCAAACTTAGAAACAAATCAAATACAAAACGAAGAATCTTTAACTATAAAGGAATGACAACTGAACTTTGGGAGGAATTTGCTAACCAAACAGACCTTAATTTAACAGCCAATAACACACCATCTACTACACTCACAACAGAATCCTTAGAATCTACTTGGTATAAAATCCAAACTAGTATCATTCAAGTAGCCCTCTCTATAATTCCAAATAAAAAGTTCACTACTAAAAACTTCCACTATACTTTCTCTCCCAAAGCGACAGAACTACATCTTGACCTTAAACTATTAGGAGAAGCTATTAAAAAAGTAAAAAGATACTTAAACAATCAAAATTTTCCATATTCTGATCTCTCTACAACCATCAACTCTATCAACTCCTGATACTCCTTCAATATTCCTCTACTACCATCAGACCCCAACTTAATTTCAAACTAGATCTCTCTTTCTAAAAACTTTTGGAAATCTCTCTATAGTGCTCGCAACTTAGAAAATACTCACCAAATAAGAGAACATATCAACTAGGCTATAAACAAAAGATGTGATCTCTTACAAACTAAACCCACAAAAATGATTAATAGTATTCTAGATAGATATAATGAACCTGTATATTTTAACAATATCAAAACACAGAATGGAATCACAACTGAACCATCTCAAATTAAATTAGCTATCAAAGAGCATTTTTGCAAATGAATAGCATATCGAAACCTTAACCAAACAATCTTCAACTCTCACTGGAAAAATGAATACAAATCTCTACTAACTGTTAAACCAGAATGATATAACTCTACACTAGTAGAGATTACTACTGAAGAGGTTACTAAAACTTTAAGCAACTTATCGAACAACAAAGCCTGTGGCCCTTCTAGAATTAGTTATGAAATGATCAAACATTCAGGCTCTAAAACTATTCAAACTATCACAGCACTACTTAATCGCTGTTTAATAACACAAACAATTCCAAAACAATAGAAAGATAGCTGTATCTTTCCTATTCCAAAAAAACCTACATTTGATAGTGATCTAAACAACACACGCCTAATTAGCCTCATTGAACATATCAAAAAACTTTATACTAAAATCTTAACTACCTGACTCAACTCAATTTTCTCTACACACAAAATTCTCAATCTACACAACTATATAGCTCTACCTAGCAATAGTACAAATACTCCTATACATATTTTAAATAATATCATTGAAGACTCTTACTGTAACAAAAAAGAGCTATGGCTCTTGTCTCAGGATATGAGCAAAGCTTATGACTTAATTAACTTAGACCTTCTTAAACTAGCTCTTGAATGTATTCAATTTCTACTCTAACTATGCAATATTATAACTAATCTATTAACTAACCATACAAACAGAGTCATCACAAATCTAGAATTAACTGACTCTTATAATATTAATAATGGCATTGACCAAGGAGAGACAATCACTCCTCTACTATGGCGCATCTATTATAACCCCCTTATTAACAAAATCTCTACCTCCTACCAAGACTATACAATGTCTGCAATCTGCAAAGATTCTATAATTACTCACAGAAACCACAAACTAAAAGCAGCAATTTCTGTCTTAGCCTATATGGATGATACACTCTGGATTACAAATTCAAAGCCAAATCTGGAATTAATAATACAAACCACAACAACCTTTTATCAAATGGCTAACATTCAAATCAACCCCCTTAAATCTGTTCTTACTACAAACTCCAAAAAACTTTTATATCTAAATTTTATTAACTCTTCTCTACAACTACAACAACCTAATATTCTATTCAAATTCCTTGGATGTTGGTTTACACTGGATGGTAAACAAACAAAACAAACTAAGCTCATTACTAATGAAATATCTAATTTAACTAATACACTTAGAACTAAATATATAACTGACAAGCAAGTTCACTATATTATCAACTCTGTAATAATACCTATCCTTGAATACTGCATACATAATATCGTTCTCTCCTAAACAACATGCAACAAGCTTCTTAGCTCCTATCTCACTATTGCTAAACACAAATCTAATCTAGCACTAACAACCCCCAACAGTACTTTACTTAATCATAACATTTATGGTATCAAAAATATCTGGGATATCCAACTTCAGCATCATATCTCCAATTTCTTTATTAGACTTTGTGATACTGAACTCCTAGGAACTACTACACAAATCAGACTCCAACAACTTCAAAACAACCTATGGTCTACTACTAATATTCTCCAACACCCACAACCTCAAATAGATGGCCCTAACAAAAACTCTACAAATTTCAAAATTATCTTACTTTTTCATTATTTAAATATTCCTATTTCTACTAATATTAACAATAGACAACCAACTACCTGCTCTGATCCATATATACCATTGGAAAAAATCTTCTAATATAATAA